TATCCATTATTTATCCATTGTACTCAATGTCCTATGTATAGGAATAGGAAGCTCAGAACACTATTATAATTAGTGTGGTAATATTTTCATTGATTAGCTTTACAACCTTGAATGAAAAATTAGGATCCATTCTGATCATTTCAGCTGCTGCTTTGACCTGGGCTCTATCCGTGAACAGAATTGGGACAATAGGTTTGATTTCCACCCCCCACCCCCCAAGATCCTGATTACCTGGTGTGAACCGAAGCTAATGGTGATCTGTGTTGCATGCAGATTGTGAAAGTAAGGAAAATAGGATAAATTATGTATTTTTAAAAAATAAAATGTAAAGTTTAAAACAGTCACAGGATTTTTTTTTATAGCTGAAAACAGTTTGAAAGAGATCATTAGAAGGTGATCACTAAGGTGGTTGCATCAGTGTAGACCACAAGTCTTATTTGGCAATTAGTGGTGGGTGTGGGAGAGAGAGTAGAGTATATAATCTGGAAATATCCAAGATGAATGTTCTTACACTGCCTTTGATGTAAGCCATGATTCCTTAAGAGGAGAAAGAATCTGTTGTGGCTTTAACAAATTCTCCATCAGTTTACCGAAATGTTGTTTTTTCATTGCCAGGCCAGTCAAGTTTATAATCCTTTGGTTGGTTTTCAAGTCATTTGGGACCAGCTGCCCAGTTTCTGTGCTGTTACTCTCCATTTGGAGTTTTATTTGCTCATTTGGATAAGATACAAGTGCCTTGTTGTCTTCTCTGCACCATCCTGGCAGAGCAAAAGGTGCCCCAAACTAATCTGCTTTAGGTGTAAGGTGTCTCTCTGAAGGACAGGTTAGGGTTAGGGCTGTCAGAAGGCTCAGGTCTTCTCCCTACTCTGGATCTGAGGAGTGAGAACAGAGGGGGGGTCAAAGCATAGCCCTCTCCAGTCAGCCAGCCCTTTGTAGTTTCCCACTGGCATTCATAAGAAGCGACAGGGTAGAGCTGGTCTCCATTTTTTAAAAGAAGTATGGATTTAGTCATACCGTCATAGCATTTCTGATGTTGCATGCTCATAGGAAAAGGGGGGTATAAATGTCATAATGGATGCTAACAGGGGTATCTGCAGGGTGGCCAAGAAAGCTATTGTGCTATGTGTATAAAAGGGGTGGGGCTTTGGTTGCATGATTGTGGTCCCTGGGTTGACTTTTTGACCCCTCCCTGTGGACACTAAAGTGCTCTTTAGAATGCGAACTCATGCACCGCAGCACGTCTTGTTTCTCTCCCCAGAGCTGAATAGGATTGAGCCAGGATTGGGCTCAGCAGCTGTGAGCAAAAAAAGAGGGGGAGGGTGGAACTGGCTGGTGAAGATGAAGCCTTTGGAGCAATGACCTTGAGAATGCTGCGGTAGCCAGGGAGAGATGCTGTAGCCGTGGTGACCGGCTGTGCGCAGCCGGGGCTTAAACTTTAGTAACCTTCACCCAGGACGCAATAAAAGCTAACCTATGCCAGAGAAGAGCCATGTGGGGCCCCATGGAAGAGCAGAAAAGCAGGTGGGGTGGACTTACCTGGAGGCTCCAAAGACAGGCCAGCCATGGAGAACATGCCTGGCTCAAAGTCCCAAGGCTCTGACTTTAGGCACCTCTCTTGACCTAAGACAAAACTTGGTTGAAGTATCATACAGAAACATGGGGCAGAGCAGTGGAAGGCACAGATTTATTGACTTATTTGGGGTCGCTTTTTGGCTTTCTGGGCAAGTGGCTGCCAATAAGTGAATACATTCACTATGGCTGTTGGTGAGTTTGTCACCCTGGCTGGATTTACACACATCATGAAAAGTTGTATTGTGAGTTGGTCTGTTTTTGGCTTTGCAGGTTATGCAAACCCCACCATTGTGGATCCTAATTCACATTTATTGCTTAGTACAGTATGGGGACAAGTCAACAATCCTGGGTTCAGAGACTGAGATTTAGCATCATGTGGGGATCCAGTCATTAAGTGTTGACCAAGCCAGTCTTGATGAAAATCAGCCACTGCTGGGATCGGTACACTAAACAATCTCTGCATCCATGTGATGACTCCATGGTGTAGGTACACCTGAAACAAGCAGGTGTCAGCCATCTGGTATACTCCAGTGCTTTTAGACTTAAGACCCCATAATCCTGATAAGAATTTTGGAGATTGACCTCGCAAGCCCATTCCTGAATCCCAATGCAGCCAGTCAGTCAGACTGGATATGAAGCAAGTTTTGTTTGCAAGAAGCATCTGAAGGAAAGGCTAGATGGGCAGCAGTTCCTTGCCTCCTGTAATCCTGCCTTCGATTGTGATCTTTATCTTTGACAGAAAAGAGAGATGGGTTGTGGAGCAGATTCTTCAAGCCACAGAGAGCTGCTGCTGAAATCAAACTAAATCCTTTTTAAGCATTCAGTGAGTATATTGGAGTAGCATCAACTACATAACATCTAAGGTTTGGGAAGGGTCTTGTGTATCGTTGTCCACAGACTTCCATCAGTCCCTGTTTCCTTTTCAATCCCCCTTTCTCAACCCAGCCTCCTTGGTCTCAGAATGGCAAAGCAGCAAGGGCCTCTTGGAGGGGGATCCTGAGGGTTTCATGTTCAGCACATCTGGAGGATCCCAGGTGGGGCACATGGGTGCCTGCTGCTAGCAAATATGTAAAAGGGTATTTAGTTTAACTTCTGCTATCTTTTCTGCTGTCTTGGAGGCTAGAGGAAAACACACTCACATGCATCCAGTAGGTTGGGGGTTTTTTAAACCATGTTCTGAGGAACCTCAAGGTTCTGCAAGAACTTGATGGGGTTTTGTGAGAAACTAAGGGCAAAACAAACAGAAAATGTTCACCTGAACACAGCCAGTTCTCTATCATTAGAGCTTTGCCAGGAGTTCTGGGAATTTATTACATTTTTAACAGGTTCCATGGTCTGAAAAAGTTTAAAAACCCCTGCAGAAGGTGTTCCAAACCTGCTAAGTTGATGTCAAACCAGATGTAGCACCATCAGATATACGTTGGTTTGCAAGCACTGGTGTCTGCAGGAAGAATCAAGAAAGCCAAGATGATAGTGCAGCAGTGAAATCAAAGGCCTGCCCATTTGCACGTGCACAATCTGGGAATGTTCAGCCTAGAGAAGATAAGGCCAAGGAGAAGCATGATAGCAGATGCTTGAAGGGATGTCACAGGGCAGAGGCTGTGGATTTATTTGCGGTAGTGCCCAAGGGTAGGACAAGAACCAACAGGTGGAAGCTTTACAGAGAGAGATCCAGCCCAGAATTGAGAAATTTTCTGACCATTGGAACAGCCTCCCTCCTGGAGGCCCCATCACTGGAGGTTGTCAAGTCAGGGTTGGACAGCCATTTGTCTGGGATGGTCTGAGGATTTCTGCCCTGATTTCTAGGATTTCTGGGCTGGACTGGAAGATCTTGGACTAGACTCCAACCTCCCTTCCAACCCAACAAAATAGATTGTGTTTATGGAATAGATGGAAAGCAAAGCTGCTTTTGTTAGAGGGCTGTTACATCAGCGCAAGAAGCCTGGCTGCTATTTACACCTTCGTTAAACTCAGTGTGAGATGGAAGTAGATTCACTGAAACGGAGCATGGGGAATAGTTGGCGGTCTGAGAGGAAGTGAGAAGTGGGTTTTCTGTGTAACCAAGAACATCAACTGTGAGGGAAGAGATTTGACTACACAGGCCTTTCTTTTTAGAATGATCTTCTTGGTTTAGAAACTGTGGTTGCCTTTTCATCATGCTTACCTAGGAACAGTGGTTGGAAAAGTATTACTGTATTTTTATTACACGGTGCACTGTGGTTGTACAGTATAGTCCAATGAACACCGATAGTCTTGTTTCTATATAGGTATGCGTGCTTATGAGAAAAGGAAATTCTGCTGTTAACTGCAAGGCACAACTTCATTTCTCCTTTCTTCCATTGTATTCCATTTGAATGTGGGGCGAATATATGGGTGTGTTGTTGTTGCTGAAATCTTGACTTCTAAAGGAGAAGGGAGGGTGCTACTAGCCAGCAGGAGGTTCTCCTGGACCAGATGGAGCCTGTTTGCAGTATTTCGGGTGTTCTCTGGGAAGAATGAAAGTTTAAAACAATTTGGCCATGGAATGACATTCTCTTCTTCCCATCATGCTGGAAGTTAATTTGCGTAAATTGTGAATCACAGGATGAAGCATTGTTTTAACGATTGGGTAAATAGCAAGCGTGTTGGATGCTTTAAATGCTTTACATTCTAT